TGTTCAGTGCTCTACAGACGCGGTAATTTGTGACTTTGTATTATCTTTTTTTATTATTATTTGACGATGAAAACTTAATCCAATAGATTTACTTACAGTGTAGACTTTTTTTATCTAAGTTCCTTTCGAAAGTCTAAACAGATATGAAGTTCAGGATGAAACGTTTCGCTAACATATAAGTTAAAGCCATCAAACTCTGTAAGTGCATCCATCCCCCATCCCCCTCATCATCATGGCCCCAAGTGTAAGCATATTTAATTTCGCTAACACATAGGTTACGGTTTTGGAGTTATGAAAAAAAGAATGATTGAAGTAACTTTATATTCACCCATGACAGTTTTATATGTGATATCCTACTACAGAACTATAATTAACTTTGAAGCTTTAAACAAATATATTTTATGCTTCAACAAACTTCCAATCTTGTAGTATCTTACATAACGTTAAGCCTTATTTATCTATCCATGCAGAGTGTCAAAAACTGCGTCGCTTATAAATTTGCAGCAGTTCAAGAGGATCCAGAAAATACACTCTCTGGAATGATTGACAAGTGTTTCTAAAGAGGTAAGTTAATAAGGTTAAACATACAATTATGTTGGCAATATATTAACCAACTATTTCTGGACTTGAACATCTTATGTGCTGAAAAGTGTATAAACATTATTATCTACAAGAACATCTAAAAATGTTTATAGTTTCAAATAACGTAACGTGTCGTCTATCGGTTAGGCCTTGTTGTAGCTATTCATATATCACAAGTTTAAGTAAAGAATACCATTACAATTAGAATTATATTGTAAACTAGCGGAGTACGCGGCGTTACTCGGATGAAAATGGCTTTAAATATCCTGAGATGTTTTGAGTAAATCAACCACATTAATCGTGATTTTTGCAAAAAAATACAAAATAGTCAAAATGGTTTCTTTACCTAACTAAATATTTATATCAAAATCAACAAAGATAACAACAACAACAAAAAAAAATTGGCTAAAGTTATTTTAACCAAAGCTTGAAATGTCATGCAAAAAGCAGGAGCAATGTATCTGAATTTGTTTTGGAAACACAGAGAGTTAAAATGGCCCTGGACGAGGAAATTATCATGCACGTTTGCTATCGGCAATTTTTTTTGTGTTGCAACAAGAAGAGAATACATTCATTAAATGGAACGATAATAAAGTCGCTGTAATCGACACAGCACAAATCAAAACATCAAAAGATAGGGAATTTTAACTCCCGACTTACCCAAAATTTGGTACTTGACTACCTTGTTTCTAGCCCTGGGTCAGTGGTAAGTTTATGGACTGACAGTGCTGTTTCGATTTCTCTCCGTAAAGTCACCGTATAGCCGATTTTTGCGAGTACACGCAAGCAAAGCAAAAGGTATGGCTGGAGCAAGCCTAATTAGTTAAGTCAGTGTGTGCGCATGTTTGGAGAAAGCGCCAGCCTTTTTCAGAGTTAGAGAGTAGGCATTTTGTGTAGAAGAGAAAGAGGGGGAGGTAAAGAGCACAAATGAAGACTTCGCAAGTTTTCAAATCGTTTTAACAGATGCTTGATCATGGATAGAATGATTAGAAGTTCTCACACAAAGAAGAAACGTACATAATAGCCGTATTGATTACATATTACCCAAAAAAAAAAACCCAGCCTTCTCAATTTGAGACCAGTTGGTCTTCCTGTTTGCTAACAATTGTTATATTGATCACTTTAGCTTTAAGTTGCGGCCCTAAAACGGCCTCTAAGGCCACTACCATACATAGCTTGTATTTGTATCTCGAGTTTGGAGTTTGGAACTTGAAACATGTGGCCTTGCATAAGTAACAGACCTAATAGACAGAGAGAGACATTCGCACTTATATATATAGCTAATCGTATTAATTAATATGTTTAAGTTTGTCATAGTAAATTGATGCTTTAATTATTCTTCTATTTTTCAAAATTACATAACTTTATTAAAATATGTGGTTATTATAAAATAAGGCCAAAAAGGCATAATGGAAATCTACATTTCCCTATATAGATTAATAAAGTTCCCTTCCTTTAAGTTATTATGTATAAAGAATCAACATTTCCCTAGAACTGAGTTGTTCAGATCCTTCATCGTTTTCACGTGTTTGAAACTTTTAACAATATATTTTGAAATGAAACTAACAGCAAAATACATCATCGTTACTATTTTCTACCTTCTTGAACGGAAAATGTAATATTTAGTCGTATATTTTTCACAAATAGTCCAAACCTTAAAGACATGCATATATAAAAAAAATGTTATACAATAACAGACAACCACAGTGTTCCCACTCTATTGCACCTTATACATAGACTGATACATGTCAAAGCAATCAGTCAGACTAGCAATTATTTAAGGATTTTTTATATGGAATGACACAAGTAACCCTCGCTATAAGGCTTCAGGTACACCTCATTTTAGAATAATAATTCTGAGACAATGAACGTTAAACGTTTATTGGACACCAAAAACAACTGTGTCCTGTTTATGTCCTATACAGTTATAACTATATGGTGGGTGGTGATGACTAGCTGCCTTCCCTCTAGTCTTACACTGCTAAATTAGGGGTGGCTAGCGCAGATAGCTCTCGTGTAGCTTTGCGCGAAATTCAAAAACAAACAAACAATTAAATAATTTGACTGATATATTTAATGTTATTAGCTTTGTTCTAAGTGAATTGACATTAATATTTAATTATTTTAATGTTATTTATATTTACAGCTTCAACGGATCACTTAACATCTGATGAGGACCAGCATCTACATATTACCTATAATATAATAATCTGGATCTGTCGTGGTTTCCTTCTTTTCGGGATATGTTTAACTCTCAAATATCTTTATCTAGAAAATAAAACTTTCATAAAGCAAGAACACTGGTTTATTGAATGTGGTTTTAAGTTGAAGTGGAACTAAAGATATACAAAGGGCTGTCGTTTTGTAGTACATATACACTTCTTAAACAAATATAATACAGTCTTTCATGTATTTTTTTTGGGGGGAGGTAAACTAAAATGTATTAACTCATTATTACACAAACGTATAAATCATGAAAACTATCTTCATTTTGAGGTGTTAAAAAGTGATAATAATAATATTTGAAAATTACATGTGTGTTTAAAGAAGTTGATAATTTGTAGTTAGAATGTGTTCCAGAAGCTTTCTTCACACACGAACGAGCCTTGACTATGATGGTCACGTATTATTAAATAAATTGTTTGTGCTATGCCCACAACGGGTATCGAAACCCAGTTTTTTTATATTAAAGTCGTCCAAGTTATAGTTCAAAATGTTTACAAATAATTACTTTCTTGTACACTATATTAAATATCTGTTGTTTCCGGAAATACATCAAAGTTACGAAAATCAATAAGAAGTCAGAGGTTAATTTAAAATGAATTAAAAATGAAATGAAACATACTGATAGTGTTACTACGACAAACATTATCGCTTGTACCCAACACACAAATTACATCATAGAGTAGCTATACCAGTCAGCTAAAATTACCATATTTGAACAATGATGGATAATATTATAGTGAAAGTAGAAAAAAAAAACTTGGAGTACATTACATTCCCTAATTAAAATTTGTATTCTATTGATAATTCCCTTGTAAAATAATGAATTAAAAAAAAGATATATAAAAATGATATGAGGAAGATAAATTTTCCTTGTTTCCATATATGTAATTAACAAAACTTGATTTAATATTGCACTGTAATTAATAACCGAAATGACACATTGACAGCAGACCAGTTTGGAGTGAAAATTCACAAGGATTTTATTTGCTACTTGTGGTATATCTTACAATAATAATAATAAATCCACTTAATACACATTAAATAGCAGAAGATAATATAATTTGTTATGAAGAATGCGCCATCCACTGATAGATATAAAAAAAACCTGAAATATGTATTTTCAGCCAAACAGAGTTTAATGTTTTTGTGTTAGCAACAAATAATTCTGATCATTGAAATGAATGTTTTGATTTTATTGCTAAATTAATGAGAGAGGCCAGTGAAGATGGAATGGTTCCTCCTGGTACCCCAGAGTGATGGTCCAACATTTACGGAACCCACGCTTTCCATCTCCACCCACACTCACTGTGTGATCATACAATTGCGACAGACCACTTTCCTGGGTTAGTCGACAATTAATTAATAGGGAGGACACCATACGGATCCGAAGTTTTGAAGTATGGATCCAATTTTGAAATTTTATTTGCAGATGTATACAAAATACAAGAATACGATGCCTGAACAATTGACAAAGAATAATTAAATACAAACAGTCAGAACACGGATAATAATCAATCATTTAACACAAAAGAACAACATGAAAATTACAATGTCACAAAATCATATTATTATCACATGGAACCAATTTGGTACTTCAAGTACAGAGAGTACGAAATGTAAATAGAAGGCAAAAATATTACATAAAAATAAACATTCTTGACACAAATATAGAAAAGCAAGTGCTGGAAGAATGTATGAATATAATGATACATTATCGTGTTCAATGAAACCCGGTTTATATGGGTAAAGATATAATAAAAAATAGCGAAAAATGCAAAAAAGACAGCTATAAATAAAATCTTAAATAGAAGAGAGTGGCTCCATAATTTCTCGAAGTATAACTAAGAGAGATGCAGCTTCAAGATGGATGCTAAAGCAGTACTGCATCTGGTGAAAGACATAGCGAACGGAATCAGATGAGTGTTAAATTAAACGTTAACCCTAAGTCAAGTAAAACTGCCTAATGATTGCAAATACCAGAAGATTTATCTGGTACTAAGGAATCGATTATCTTCATGTACTGTAATAGGAAGATTATAGTCGTGTACTAAACAAGCTTTTACACTCTTAAGTATAAATGAATGAAGAGTTTTTTTTACTTTTTATATCTGACAACACATACATATTCTATAAAGGCTGGCTTTAGAAGACTCTTGACAATCCAGAAAACATAATTTGGAAGCGAAAAAGATGACTTGATTTTCATACTGAATAATATGTTAATGTACATAGAAGACAGACATGAAAAGAAATAAATGATATAAACTTAAAAGACCAAAATTGTGAAAGCAGCAGAATATTGCAAAGAAACAAACATAACATATTTTTTAATATTTTAGTTCTATTTTTGGCCTGAAGATGGTAGCATGCTAGGAAAGAGAGTCACATAATAATGGTTTTGAAAAAACGAATCCTCTTACCACTACCAGAAAATGATATTTGTTAATGAAAGAAATGAAAGGTTCGCCATCTATTGACAGACAAAGAAAGCCCTAAAATACTTGTTCTTAGCCAAAATTAATGTTTTTTACATGCTGCAATAAATACTTTTAACGATGGAAACAAATGTTTTAAATCTATTCTTAGATTACTTTGGAGGCCAGTGAAGATGGACTGGTTCCTCCTGGACCGTACAAGTACCCCGGAGCGATGGACCAACGTTTGGGGGAGCATTTGCAGAACCCATGCTTTCCACCTCAACTCACTGTGTGTGCACACAATCGGACAACCCTGACATGGGCCATCGACGATTAATAGGGAGGACGCTATACGGATCCTAGGCCATGAAGTATAGCACCACGTATGCCCACATAGCTGCCAGGCTCGGCCCCACTAAACATTTGTAGCAAAGAAACGACTTAATATAAGGTTTGCTACGAAAAAAGAAAGTGGCGTTAAGTAAATTCATACCAAAATTTCTAGTTCACAAAGCTGTTGTTTACCTAAAATATTGGACTATTTGATAAAAAATATTTTATTTTAAAACTTTCTTTATGTTGTTCATTAGAATCTAATTGGAAAGAATTTATTTATGCATTGACAGACTCATACGATCGCAGAGAAGTTTCAGCCATCTAGTGCATAAAATGAAAATTACATTCAATAAAGGAAATTATCGATTATTATAATTTGAACTGTTAAATTCAACTTACTGACAGGATATTTGTTACTTACTATTATTTCTACAAAATAAGATTATCTCTATTAAGTGATCAGAATAATAATGATGTTAATAATTAATTAACCACATATGACCTTCTTTGTTTCAGAAAAAGTATAATTTTTGAATAATGAATTTCTGTTGGACAATGTTTAAAAATGATATTATGCAAAAGTTCCATTAGAAAAGCCAATTCAGGTATATCTTCTAAAATCTGTAGTTGTCGATTTACAGTAAAGTAATGTAGTATATCTTAAATACATAACAGTGAAGAAACATAACACTGCATTTCACTGCATTTAAAAAAGATTTCAAATCATGTCATATTTTTGTTTATTTATGTAATTGTAGTTTAACTATGTACCATACGAAAGTAATATTGGTCATAATATAAGGTCTCCCTTAAGATGAACTTTTTTTAGAGTAAAGCATTACATCTACTATTCAAAGATCCAATCATCCTATTTTGATATACCTGAAGGTATTTTTTTTACAGAATCATACCGTTATAAACGAATAGAACTATTTTAAATAGTATACATATATGTGATCATAAAATAATCGTTTGTAAGATTTCTATCATTCCGGCAAAAAAATATCAAGGTTTAACAATTATTCTTTTGTATACTAAAAAGTTCTCTTGTTTCAATTATGTGCTATTTGACAAAAGCAAATATGGTCATCAGTTTAAAATAAATATTTGGTGTTACTTCAAATACACACAAAGAAATTGTCTTCACACAAATGATATTTTCTATTTACAAACAGCTTATTTATACATTTGGAAGAATAAAGGATAAATTTTAAAAGAATAAAAAATTAAGTGTTATTTTAATTTGGATTTATGACTGAAAAACTTGTAGTGGTTATAAAGTGATAATTCTAAATCAATTATAAACTAAATGAATTCAGTATGATATAAGAATAATTATTTTATGTAGTTTTCAGCATCAATAGGTTAAACCATACTTTTCAATTCCCATTTATCTCGAAGAATTATATGAAGATTCTCTAAATATAGATTTTGGTCGTAATCCTCTATTACTTACAGATTCGCACATTGAAGTTTTATACTTTTACGTTGATAACATAGTAGTTTAATAAAATATTTAATGTAATTGTGTGAAATATCGTTTCATGTGCACATTGGCCTACCTGTGAGAGAGGATTAAAGTCGTTCACCATGTTAATGATTATAATGATATTTAAATGGGAAAGAATACCAACACACATAGAATGCATGCTTAGGATAACTTTTATGTGATAGGTATAACAGCTTCTATAAACGTTATATTTCCTTTTAACATTACTTATGTATTTGATGGTTGGATCCTTAGGGTATGGAGATTTTATAAATATAGGTTTCGATATCTTTTGTCATACTACTTATTGATTGGTGACTCGAAGTTATCACTTTTTTTATCTAAGAACAACAGAACTTATGTTTATATTAACAGAGTTCTGAACAACGAGGGTGAACACCTCTTGAATTTACGTTTTCATTATCTTTAAAAATTTGCACTGATCTCTGTTAGTGGAAATTGTCCAATAATCTGACCTGTAACTATCAATACACGTTACAGATCTGCTTTACTATGTACAATGAAGAAACGAATTGATATACTTAATGTAAAGTACATAAATGTTAAACTTTTTAAATATGTATACTTGCTATTCCTTGGTAAAATCAGTCTAAATTACAAACATTTATTATTAAAATCAAGTAATACAGCGATTAACAACAGAGCTCGGTGGTTATTTACAGTACAACAATCTTTGTTACAAAATAGATGTGTGTTGAAGTAAATAACAAGAACGTCAACAATTAGTGTAATGGTGACGTCATAGTAAAAGTAACTTAATATTCTTTACTCATTATTAGTGTCCTTGTAAACAGTCAGCTGCTAAATACCAAATCTTGGACAAAGTAAGTTGATTACATTTTTTATTTGTAATTGGTATCTGTGTGTGAAAACAATTTATTTATTATTTACAAAAGACGAAGGGCGTGGAAGTAGGTAAAAACATTTTATTTACAATTTTTAGTTGTATAAATAGTTTGAAAGTAGTAATATAAGTAGTTTATATAAAGACGACAGTCTGAAGGTTTTACTGTCTCCTAGAGGGAAAGGGATAAGTCCACGGATTTATAACGCTAAAATCCTGGATATGATTTCCAGCGGTGGACACAGAAGATAGCCCATGTGGATTTTCTCTGAAATAAATGACCCCCAGTGGCACAGCGGTATGTCTGCGGACTTACATCGCAAGAAACCGGGTTTCGATACCCGTGGAGGGCAGAGCACAGACAGCCCATTGTGTAGCTTTGTGCATAACTAGAAACAAAAAAACAAACTGATAATTTTGCTAAGTGTCGCCATCTAGTGTGCAACCTGTTCTCTCTCTCTCTCTATTACAATCTGGAGACTGTTAGTAAGATATTTGTCAAATGTTTTATGTATTTTTAATTTATGTAGCCTAGAATTCCGAATGTGTAAAAAAGTTTAGAATTGTGTTGCATTATTACCCATATGTGAACAATTTTAAAATGAATGTTTAAAGAAATTCACATTTTTATATTTTGTAATGAAAATTAATTTATCAAAGAACATGCTATATGCACATTGTGTCAGCACTGTAACGTGGCTCATGAAAATGCACATTAATAATATTGATTGAGAAGGTGACATTATCTTCTACTTCAGGAGTAAATTAACTTATTTCGTGACATTGATTAATTTGGTATTAAATAAATTTATTAGTGTACTGATTGAAATGTTATTGGGTTTGCTCTATGTGAATTTACATTAATAATTAATTATTTTAATATTATTGGTATTTACAGCTTCAATGGATGACTTAACAGTTGATGAGGACCAGTATCTACATATTACCTATAATATAATAATCTGAATCTGTCGTGGTTTCCTTCTTTTTGGGATATGTTTAACTCTCAAATACGTTTATCTGGAAAATAAAACTATCATAAAGCATCAAAACTGTTGCATTTGTAGTGATTTATTAAATATGATTAAATTAAAAAAGATACCTAAATTATTTTGACACAAAACACTATTATTGAGAAACAGTGTCATTCAGAAAATAGTAAATTTCTGAAACTACAACTGTACTGATATTTTATACAGTTTGAAAATATTTCACTGTAAAAAGCAGTTAGATGTACTTATGTAAAACTGAAATGAAGACAAAATTATAATATTATAAATTATGTTCAGATTCAAGTTCAGAAACTTAATGTAATACAATATGTTCAACTCAAATTTAAGATAGGCAAAATTAGAACAGAGGAATCTATTATAACTAAAATAGAGACAAAACTTTGTTATTTATGAATTTTACAAGCTCATATAACTTACCTTTATAGTCATGGAAAAGAAAACCTTTAAAATATTTGTGTTTCAGTATTTTATTTGATTTCAGATCCTATACATCTACTGGTTAATATTTTCACTCCATAGTTCACAGTGTTTCATTTATAAAAGTTAACAAATGTCAAACACCACAAAGAAGAAATTGAACAACTCAATTATAATGAAATGTTGATTTCTATTTAATGCGTTTTTGACCTTATTTAAAAAAAAACATGTTAAAAGTAAAACATAAAGTGCAACTTTAATAAATAACCACATATTTTCATAACGTTAACAAATTTGAAAAATAAAAAAAACATTAAAGCTTCAATCTATTATGTTACAAAAAGAAAATAAATATTAAAACAAAATTAAACAGAATAATTAATAATAACATTTACAGTACACTCTTAATTATAAGGGTATTTTTTATTCAAATTGAAACTTGTGATATATGAATAGTTAATACAAGGTCTGACATAAGATGTTCAAGTCCAGAGATGATTGTTTAATGTCTTGCTAACATATTGATATATTTTAACTGTATCAACTTACATCTTCAGAAACAGTTGTCAATCATTCCAGTGAGTATAGATTCTGGATCCACTTGAGCTGCTGCAAATTTCTCACGGATACATTTTTTGACATCCTGCAAGTACAGATTTAACTGTTCATTTGATTAATCATAGATGCAACAATGTAATACAATGATGTTACAAGGATAAACACAGATACAACAATATAATACAATGATGTTACAAGGATAAACATAGATAGACAGTTACCTGATCTTCACAATAATGGTGATCCGGGGTTCTAGTGTGGAAGGACAAGAGTAGTGATTTGTCACATGTAGAATTAAAGAACATGTGTCTAGGGAAGAATTTATAAAAATTGAAAAGGAACTATAGAGGCACTCAGTAGAACCCATATCTCTACCTCAGTAGAACCCATATCTCTACCACGCAGCGTTGATCATATTCGGGTCTCAAAAAATGGGTCCATACGACCGTCGTTATCAACGGATACGGATCATTTTTTTCAGGACAATAAGGAATAATATTCAACATAAGTCCACCAAGTTTCACCAAAATTCGATCATTTTTGACTGAGTTATAGAGCAAACATAGTGTGAAAAATCGATACCATGCTGAGAGATGGGATTTTTTAGATTTTCGGGATTTTGCTGTGACCTTGACCCGCCAAAACTATGCACTCCTAAGTTTAACTATTGGCCAAATGTATACCAACTTTCGTCCAAATCCATTCACAAACACACATACACACACAGGGGTGAAAACATAACTTTCGCCCACTTCGGTAGCGGAGGTAAAAATGTTCAAACTCTGGAAATGTGTCCCTCATGACTCCGTGTATATGTAACACGTGTTATGAAGAACCAACTGCATGAAGTGAGTTTACAGTCACCTCGGACACTATAAGAAAGTGAGATATATAATATATACCTACCACAGAACTACAATTAACTTTAAAGGTTTATACAAATACATTTTATGCTTGTACAAACTTCCAATCTTGTAATATGTTAAATAACATTAAGTCTTATTTGTGCAATTAGAAAAAGAATACGTTTCAAATACATAAATTTCAAACATTAACGTCACAAAATTTAAAACAACATTAATTACTGTTAAAATTAATTGTGGCTAGAAAGATATGACTTGTTAATTTTTACATACATCACAGACAGGTCTTCGTATAAGCAAATTTTAAAAGATATTTTTAGATTTATAAAATAAAATTTGGAATTGAACTAAACCACATAGAGTATCAAGTTTTTTATATTATAGGAAGGACTGAACTTGACAAGACATGGACTCGAACCCGAGGTTTAAGCTAAGCCTGCCAAAGATACATTCACATTTTCGAATGACGTCAGCCTCAAATTTT